TTACCATAACCTGACTAAACGTCATTTTGGCAGACGCTAGGTTATTTCCTCAGATTTAATCCCCGCCTTTGACTTCAACATAGCTCCTGTGTCCCTTGACGTCAGCAGCAGCGGTCGAATCTCGATTGCTGCAGCGATATGTTAGGCCGCTGTTCAGCACTGTCGGTCGCCGAAGCGGACACCTTATCCAGGCAGTAAGGCAGGTTTTAGTTCACGGTGCAGTGGCCCGCTGGTGCCTCGCGAGACAAAACTTTCCGTGCCGGCTCTGGGTCTGACAAAGGCTGTGACACGGCAGAGGTCGCCGTGTTGTCGAGCGGCCACTTCCGGTCACGCCACGCGCCGCCCACCAGCTATCACGTGGCTGTGACGCACCTCGCTGTTGTTGCCAAACAAGACGTGTGTATGCGACATTGAACAAGTCCCTGGCTTTACTGACGTGCATTGGTAAGTGTGTAAATAACGCATGTAAGTACAAGCCAATCACTGTAGACAGTGTGACCAAGCCAAACTATACATTACGCACGTAGCTGTTTCCATTTTTAGGGAGCCCAAAGCACGCCTTCGCGCGCCATTTCGTGGAGCGGCAGACTATAGTGGCCATATTAGCGTTCAGGGACTTCGGCGCAAAAGGGACTCGATCACAAGTGGGAGCCAAAAGGGCTAATTGCTCGGTCATTAGGTGAGGTTTAAACTGCGCTGCGCAAGTATTATGTAGACAGGAAACCGGTCGCTGCTCAATATATGTATTCTTAAGCCATTATTGACTTGGGCCAGTGAGTGAAGCAAGCCTCTGAGTAGTTGATGCACCAATAGTAATATCGAACGGCCTCAACGCGGCAAAAGCCACAAGTTGGTTCATGGATATGACCTAAGATTATGAACACAACAGAAAGCTTTTGATGCAGGACATACTCAAAAGAGCATATTGAAGTCATGAAATGTCGAAGCGCTCTGCAATGCATGCCCCACTAACGGCTGGCGGCATGTACACCACGACGCCTGCTGTCCCACCTGCTCGTAGGTCTTTATCGACGTAGTAGCTCTCCACCCGCCCATCGTGCCTAGCGCCGAGTGCCGAGCACAGAGCAAAGGCCAGCGGCAGCAGACACCGCGCCAGCGTCATCTGAAACAGTGTCGTACCCTGCATATGTCCGCGCGGGAAAGCCGGGCACAGAATGGGCTTGAAACAGGACATCGACATCGCCCGAAATTTTAGAGCGTGAGGTGGTTTGCACAGATACGGGATTGCTCGATTGAAGAGCAGGGGATATGCCAGCAGAGATGATTGTCGAAACAGCATCATAATGTATGGCTTTGTGATTCATACCACATAGTTTGCCAAAAATGGTTGAACCGCTCGTACCGGTAAACATTTAACGGTTGAGCTACATGGTTAAATTCGTTGAATACCTTACGCAGCTTTACCACATCGTAACGCACAATATTATGTTTCACGTTCACGAAGCTTGCCCAGTACTCATGCACCCATTAGTCATGATAATAGGTTGCTTACTTAATGCTACTTGATAAATTCCGTAGCTACCTATTGCAAATATTGCCTCGTTAACCAGGTCGCGTTTAAAACTGCGTTTAACTAGTTATCGGCCATGCTGAAAAGTTTTCCACGTATCGGCCATGATGTAAAAATCTCACGAGTGAGGGTACTGGGCACGTCAGCCAGAACGTTTACATGACGATTGCATTCTGATTGGCCTACTGATTGCATCCTAACGACCTAATTTTTCCAAGACCCATCATCCTGTTCTGATTGCCCACTGGAACGAGAAGCGTCAAGCTCATTACAATTGCGGTAGCCTGTCAGCGTACTGAGGACCTCACAGAAAAACGGAAACATAGAATGCGGATGGGCTGAAGACACCAGGTACTGCC